GAGAGAGAGAGAGAGAGAGAGAGAGAGAGAGAGAGAGAGAGAGAGAGACGATGGACTTCCCCTGTGCTCCCTGGCACCCTCTCCCATGACCCTGATAGGCTCCAGCCTATCTGTTGACAGTGAAAGGTATGGATGCCTGAGGTGTGCTGGCTAAGCAAGAGGCTTATATTCTGGGTCCCTTGATAAGTAGCTAGGTGGCTTAGCTTGTGTGTGTCTCAACCGTGACAATGGTGATGCCATGAGGACTGAAAGCATTTACAGTAGGTCTGGCACTCATGATGGCTTGGCCTTTTGCTTTGGCCTCTAGCATTCCCAGATGAAGCCGCTAGAAGACTTATGGAGAGTGGGGCTAGTTCTCTGCACACCCTTACTTACCTATCCTCAGGACCATCTGACTTGGACAGGCTTCCTGTTAGAATCTAGGGACCTCTGTGAAATGCCTTGTCTTGGGGCCAAGTGAGGGCAGTGAGCTCCTTATCTCTCTGTCCTCCAAATGCTGACCAGCCCCTCTCTTCTGGGTAGCAGAATCCTCCCGTCCTGGGGAGGCACCTGGTGGGACCCCTTGGTGCCAGGTTCCTGCTCAGCTCTTCCTGCCCTTCCCAGTCTCTGGGCAGCCCTCTTGCTTCCCTTCCCTCTGATGGCCACTTCACTTTATCTCTGAATGTCATTGCTCCACTAATTCCTAGTTGCTTGGAGTTACCTCCCTGGCTTATTATTAGCTCTGTCCCTTGAGAGGCCTTAGGAGAGGACTGACCTTGACTAAGCCCTGAGTGAGTGCGTCCTTCTCTAGAGAGGAAGATGCTTTGTTTCTAGGATGTTCTGGACAGACCCATCTGACAGAGACCCATCAGGAAGCCTGGAGAACTTATGTAGCAGGAGTTTGAGGGTTGTCAAATGCCCCCCACCCCCAGCAGGGAAGGATACCAGGACAGTGAAGACTTGGAGGAAGTCTACCCAAGGCATCCTGCCCAGGACCTCCAAATGGCCTCCAGGTGGGCCAAAGACTGAGCCCCAGGCTGGTGGTCCAGCAAGAGCACTGGGCTGAGACCTGGCCCTGGGTTCTAGTCTGGGACTGATACCCATTTTCCCTGAGGTTCCTGCATCCGATCCTCAGCTTTTGTGTGAGTTGGAAGAGCTTCTTCCTCAAGGGATGTATAGCCTGCCCCAGCCTGCTATCTGACACTCGGCTAGATTCAGTCTCCCAGTTGACCCTCAACCACATACCTTTGTTCCCCAACCAACTTTTAAGGCTCTATACTCTCTCTAAGTCACTTGCTGTATAAGCTTTGGACGAGTTGCTTCCTCTTGCTGGGCCTCTGTTTTTGTCCTTAGTAACTAGGAGAATTAGACTAGCCAGACCTTGGGGGTTTGGTACTCCCAGCTCTTAGACATTTTAGTTCCCACCGAGGCTTCCATGACACCTATCCCCACCTCCGGTCTGCTGCCAACCTGCCAGCCACCAGCTCTCGAACCTGTTCTCAGTCCCTTTTCAGCCTGTCATACCTGCACCCCCTCCCCCTTAACTTGTTTATTTCTGGGAGCAAGGCTGAGCTCATCACCTTGCACAGGTAGGGCACAGCCTCTCCCTGTCAAGGCTCCACCCCATATCACCAGTTCTTGGATCAGGCCTGCAGACCCAGAAACTCCTGAAGTCTCTCCATCATACCCAGTCTTCCTTTCCTCTCCCCACAGAGGGTAGAACAACCTAAATGGCAAGGCAGATAGGAAGCTGGTCAGCTGCTAAGTGACAGTCACCAGCACAGTGTGACAGGAATACAGCTTCAGGTCTCTAAGGATGCTATGCTAGCCTACGGTGGCTGCTGAGGGTGGTGATTTATTCAGCAGGCCTTGCCTTGTGTCTTCTTTGAGGATCTAAGATCCATTAGGGCTCAGCAAACTGGGCTGTGATGCTGGTAAATTGAGTAAGCATCAAGGTTAGGTGTTGGGGGGCTAGGCAGTTCTGATCATGTACCCTGTGGGTTTTCTAGGACCTGGGAGGGCAGGACTCTGGGAGAGGTGGCCTCTATGGTAAGCCTCAGCTCAGGACCCTGGATTCTCAAGCAGTCTGCCTGCACCCTCTGCCCTTCCTGGCTGCTCTTGGAATGGAGACCTCTGATTTGCAAGGTGTAGCTGGGGGGCACTATAGGACAGGGGACAAGGCTCAGTCATCCCCCTGTCCCTTGGAAGGAGATCAGACCTGAGGAGGGAACTCAGGGACACAGGTTGTCTGCTCAGTCTCGGTCTCCTTGTCCTGGAGGCCTTGCCAACCACTTAGTTATGTCTCCTCTGAGCCTTCCAAGCGATTCCTTTGTCCTCTTAGCCTAGCTAGCTCAGTTTGGCCATCTCAGAACCTTAGTCTTCTCAGGGACAGGAAAGTCATCAGTTACTGTTGCTGGACACCAAGTTGAACTCCCAGCTTCCACCTCATGAAAGCTGAAGTTAGTGTCAACCACCATTCCCACTCAACCAGAAGGAAGTTAGCTAGCAGGCCATCGCTTGTAGGAGGTCACAAAGCCAGGGGCATGGGGTAAGGATGAATACTCTTCCCCTCAATGCTCAGGCTGAGCCTATTCTGTCCCATGAGGTGTGAGAGCATTGCTAGGCAGAGGCCGTATTTCCCTCATCTCTCTGCTTCCTGGGCTACCTTGACGCCCGGCCAGCATTCCCTACAGGGGATTGCTTCTCTATGCGAATAAACCCTGTTCTGTCTTCAATCACCTGCACTTCAGTGCTCCCTCTGCTTTTCATCAACCAAGTTCAAAACTGAAAGCCTGCTGCAGAGCGCACCCCTTCTGTGGCTTTACCGGGGACACAATGTCCTGTCTCTGTGCAGTGCGTACTGGCTGGCATGTAGGCTCAGTGTAGACTGCTGGAGCCAGGGCTGTGCTATCCCAGTACCAAGGGCTTAGCTGTGAGCCAGCGCAACCTGGCTTGACTGTTGTGAGGGTCACTACTGCAAGTTAGCTGCTGTGCTTGTAGTATTTACAGTGTCACTGGCACACGTAACAATTTAGAGAATTGCACCTTGAGAAGATTCCATCCCTTTTTCCCTTTTCTCTGGCTTGAGTTCATCCCACCTGAGTCTAGCTGAGTCCCCACCCTCTAGTTTTGCCCCCGGTCCCCATCCGGTGCAAGCTACCTGATACGGAACTCCTCCACTTTCTCCAGCACCTGCAGTAAGTTGGCTTCCAGCTGGCCCCGCTCCTGGCTCACTTTTCGCAGCTCCTCTTGCAGCTGGCCCTGGAACGTCTCATAGTGGTGGCTGAGGTCAAAGGTGGCAGATCCCTGGCCCTGCAGGAAGCTCCATCGAGTCTCTAGCAGCTGGTTTCGTTGCTCCAGAGCTTGTACCTGTGAGAGCAAGTGGGTGCAGAGTGAGCCGGCAGGTTCCCCATTGGATTCTCTGGGCAGGCTAGGGCACCCCAAGGGGGAACTCCCTGGGACAAGGCAGCTCATCTGTGCACATCCACCTGTGCTGGCCCCACTCAGCATTCAGAGCCACCTCCAGTTCTTTACTGTAAAGCTGAAGATGCTGAGATAAGGACAGGACTGAGGTGGAGCTAAGAGGCGAAGGTTTCCTACGCAGGCAGGACCTTCCATGAGGAAGAGGAGCCAGGGAGTAGAAGTGCCTGCCTATGAGGCTGGCGCAGGGCTGGAAGACCCCAGGGATGGGCTGAGAGGTGTCAGGGTCCTGTCTGCCCCTCCTCTATGGCAAGCCTAGTTTCATCTGGCCTTGAAATCCTAACAAGTTGGGCCTGCTTCAGATGTCAGTGTTAATCCTCCTGACAGCCCCAGACTTGCAGCCTCTCTGAGCCTCAGGTTCACCAGCTAGAAGCTGGGATCAATAACACTGCTTGCCTTACAGGGCTTCTGGGAGCAGAATATGGGAATGAGCTTCAGAGAGTGATAACTGTCCATGCGTCTGTAGAGTCAGCTGTGCACTAGGCTGGTTCCAAAGCTAGACTGGTCCCAAGAGCTTCATGTTTAACTCCTTTGTGACAATACTCCATGGGTGATATTGCCATCAGAACAGTTTCCAGAGGAGGGATCCAGCCCACAGAGCTGTAAGAATTGCCCAAGGTCACAAAATTAGTAAGCACCAGAGCCAGGCCCTGCATCTTTTTTTAAAGAGACGAGTCTCATGCATCCCAGGCTGACTCACCATGTAGCTGAGGATGACCTTGAACCTTTACCTCTCAAGTGTTGAAATCATAGCTCCTGGTTTATGTGGTGCTGAGGATTGAACTCAGGCCTTCATGCATGTGAGGAAAGCGTTCTTCCAAGCGAACTACGTTCCCAGCCCTACAGTGAGATCTTTAAACACCACAGCCTGCTTCCCGTGGGCTGGAGCACAGCTACCTTGAGGCTTAGGGCCTTTCTAGAGTGGGCTTCTGACTCTAGACACGGCCAGGGTGACCTTGAGGATGGAGACTAGGAGGGCTCTGAGCCCCAGGGTTACTCCCCAAACTCTGACTCCCACATACCTCCTGCTTGGACTCCTACAGAGGCACCTACAACCTATGGCTCACAGACCGATCCCCAGCAGGATGTCAGGTTCCCGCTCTGTTTCCATCCCTAGCACATCCCCTCCTGGCCTTGTCCTCACCATATTGTCTTCCCTAAGGCCCCTTGCCTCACCCTTTAACATGTGTACTCCCAGCTCCCCCTGCAGGATACTCCCCAGACTCAGCCTGAAAGCCTTTCCTCCAGCAGTCAGAGCCCTCAACTGATGGGCTTTCCATGCATCGTCTCTGTCTGCCTGGAAGTCCTGCGTGGTGAGGGAGGCTACTGAGGTGGGGGCTGGCAGGGTCATTCCTGGATGGGGGACTGTTTTGACAATGAGGATGTGGTGATAATCAGGTAGTGGTGCACTCTAGGACCTTGGGAGGGCTTCTGGGCTTCCTGTATAGGCTGAGCTTTGATTCCAGGACCACAGTTGGTGAGGGCTGTGGCAAACATTTGGCAGCTATTACTGCATTTTCATTTTGTGGGGGGCACTGGATGGTGGCATGGGCAGTGGCACAGGTGAGCTTTTAGTCCCCTGCTTCACGCCCATCTGACTGGGAAGTTCTGCTTAATACTGCCTTAAACTTGTACTACAGGCAAACAGGTTCAGTGGAGATAGAGGTCAGGAGGGTTTCTGCTTTGCTTTGTGTATGTGTGTGAGGGAGCATGTGTGGGGGAGTATCTGCTCACCCCACCTTCCCTCCGTTTTGACAAGCAGGAGTCCGTGTTTACACTGAGGGTGCGGTGAGAGGAGAGACATGAGACACCTACCTCCACCCATGAACAACAGAAAAAATCTCCATATCAGGAAATTCTTCCCTTAATCTAACCTCTATGCTTTATGCTTGAGCACTCCTTTCTGGGGAGATGCTCTGAACTGGGCCAGCCAATGCAGCTTGAGGGTAGTCTTGGGGAACTAGGGTTAGCCTCTGTCTCTCACTGCTCTTGGGGGAGTCTCTTGTCTCCATGGGTGGGGATGGAAGCTCTTTTTTAGCCAGGACCTGCCCAGCAGAAAGGCTCCTCCCTATGGGAACAAAGGCATAGGGAGGCCAGCAATCCCAGCACATCAGAGGAGCCAGGACAGTCCCCTCCAGCCCGTGCCCCTGCCCTTTGGTGGCACAGTGGCAGCCCTAGGGGGTTCTGCCTGCCTGGTCTATCTGCCTCCGTACTTCACAGATGAGGAAACTGAGACTGGGACCTGAATGGTGCCAGGCCAGGCTTGGCAGAGCTCCTGGTTGCAGCTGGGCTCCATCTTGGGTACATCTTGGGGACAGCCCAGCCACTGAGCCTGCAGGGAGACTGGGTGTTCTTGTTTATGGAGAGTGTCAAATCTCTAAGCTTTAGCCATGAAGCCCAGAGGCCTGCACAGAAAGGGCTGGCCTGTGCCTGCTGCTGGCAGAGGTGACTCTGGAGACTTCTGAGACCTTGAGGCCTAGGGTTGGCATGGTCTGACTCTTTAAGTGTTCACCCCCACTCTTGGTTTCCCTCCTTAGTCTGGGCTTGAACAGACTTAGTCAGCCCTTCCTCTCATCCCTTCCATTTCCACTGTAGCTGGCATGTGTGGAGAGGCCCTACAGCAGCCCCAGATGGATAGGGCACTGCCTTCCCCAGCTTCCCTCTCTGTCTCTTTTGGCTGTGACCTTGTTAGTCTTCCCATGGATAGAAAAGCCCAGCTGGCATGTGTGGAGAGGCCCTACAGCAGCCCCAGATGGATAGGGCACTGTCTTCCCCAGCTTCCCTCTCCTGTCTCTTTTGGCTGTGATCTTGTTAGTCTTCCCATGGATAGAAAAGCCTAGGCTGCCTGTGGAACAGAGCCCTGGAATCTAATGCACAGAGAAGGTAAGTAGATTGCCTAAGAAAACACAGCCTGTAAGTCAAGTTAACATCACTGCTGCAGGGCCTCTTTGCTAACCTCTACAGAAAGGAACCACCCCCTTCCCTCCCACCCACCACACACACTGGCTTCCCTGTGCCTCAGAGGGCCCAGAAGGGGAAGGAGGGCAGAGCGCCCCTCCCTCCTCTCTGCTCTGATCTGTCTCTTGGGCCTTCCCTGCTTGTACATCTCTCTGCAGTCTGGGCTGCACCCCTGCCTACCAAGTTTCTTCACCCTTCTCCCTGTAGCCCCCCTCCCTTCCAGGCTTGGGGTATGTGTGTTCTAGCTACTTTTCAGAAATCATCCTATTTGATTGATAAGCCCATGACACTGATGTGCACCGAGGCACAGAGAAGCTCAGGAATTTGCCTGAGATTATCCAGCAGGCTGGTGCTAGGACCAGGATTTAAACTCAGCAATTGGGCTCCAGAAGTCTCTCTCTTTAGACCACTGTCTGTTTCTCTGGGGCCCTCGCAGCATCTGCTTGGTTCAGGGCTCCAGTAATGAGGACCCCAAAGGGCTGGCACCCGCAGCTCCTTGCACACCACAGGGAAGGACACCCTATTTCAAGGACAACTTGAGAACTGGGAAGCACCAGTACTGACTGCTAAGGACCTCAAAGGGCATTGCCCTGGCTCCTGGGCACAGGACCCCAACTCTGAGGTCTCCCTTCCTGGGCCCACGCCCACTTGCTCCCACCCCATGCCCACGGCAGAGGCACAGGGTGACATCAGCACTGGTGTTCAAGGGCGAAAAGCCACCCATGGAAGCCAAATTACATAGCTCAGTGAAGCACTCCTTTTAAGGGATTAGCTAGGCTTGAGGAGGTCTCTCTGCAGGCCTTGCCTCCCAGGCCATGGGCTCCATCTGTGCAGCTGGGCTGTGGAAGGGGTTCCTGGCTTCAGTGGCCACTTGTCTTACCCATGCATCTGGGCACCCTAGGTGTAGAGAAGGAGACTTGACTAGTTATAAGTAGGGGAGAGAAAGACACAATTCTCATATCACAGTCTGATGGCTTTGTGTCCTATAGACTTGAGTTCAAACCTAAACTGTATCACTTTTGGATTGCGTGACCTTGGGCAAGGCACTGGGACTCTCTGGTCCTGTTTACGCATCTGCACAGCTGAATAAATAACAGCTGTAGTGGTGATGTGGGGGCTGACTTGCATCCTACGTGTTAAGTACCTGTGGGGTGCAGGCAGCTGGGCCACACTTGTACCACCCCCCAGGGTCCCCAGAAACATGCTGGGGGTGGTGCAGAGTTAGAAACAGAGAGGCAGATTAAGGCTAGCCAAGGTTGGGAGGCTGGGCCTCTGCTTCCTGGGAGTTGGGATGTGGTTTTCTTTCTCTGTGCAATGGGCACTAAAGGTTTTCTTTTATGCAGTTATTGAGGGAAGAAGAGATTAATCTACTATGCACCCTGCATCGCCCAGCATACCAACAGGCAGTCGCAACACAGGAGGAAGCTGAGCAGCAGGGGCTGCTCACAAGAGGTTCCCTGAAGTTGGTGAGTGGGTATAGGCTTGGGAGGTAGACAGGACTTCCTTGAGTCCTAGATCAGCTGCAAGCAATAGCCAGGAGACTAGGGGCTGTGTTGCTAGGGACTTGTTGCTCCCATTCAGGTGGGTGCAGGGAGGCCCCACTGGCTGCCTGCTGGCTGGGCTGACACCTTCCCTGCATTCCTATCTCCCGATGTGCCAAAGCTGCATCTTTACTCACGCAGCCTCCGGGTGGCAGCCTCCTTCTGCCCTATGTGCTGCCTGGGCCCTGCAGGCTACACTGGGTCTGTGGTTGGATGGGAAAGTCAAGCAGGGTGGCCTGGAGGAAATTGCTACGGCCCGGACCAGAGGCTCAAGGGATGCACCAGGAGGAGAGCCTTGACAGCTCAATTCCCCGGCCACCTGCCTGGGCCGAGGCCAGCAGGCCACGCCTTCATGAGCTTTTCCCTTTGCTACCACAGGGGTACAACGACTCTTCCAGCCAGGTGGCCTATCCTTATCTAGAGACCCCTCAGGATCCATCCTGGGGTCCCTTTCGCCCCAGACATTAGGATGTATCAGGACTTCCAACCCATCGCTGATGTAGTCATGCCACATCCCCATTGGCTGGGGAGGGGCGGGGCATGATGACCGATGCTCAGGGAAGCGCCAGCTCAGCCACCTGGAAGGCATGGCAGCCCGGCTGTTTTGCTACCCTCTCCCACTCAGCTCACCTTGCCAATCAGGGAGGCAAATTTATCGTTGAGGACCTTCATCTCCTCCTTCTCCTGGTTCTTCTGTTGTTGAACGGCAGGGTCTACTTTGAGGTCCAGGGGCACCAGCAGGCTGGAGTCTACAGTCACCTTGGGGATGGTGTCGGCTGATCTGAAGCTTGTAAGGCTTCGAGAGCTAAAGCCAGACCCAGGGACCCCGGAGCTGCCCCATCCCGAGGTCCCAGGCCGGGGGCTGCCCGCAGGGGTCACCTCACAGCCACTGAGGCTGCTAAAGCCAACGACGCACGAGCGGCAGGCCATGGTGGCCCCCCGACCCCCGGCCTGGGATCGGGAGGGCCCCAGCAGTGAGCTAGGGAGCCTAGGAGTGGTGGCTGGCAGCTGCCTCCTGTCACAACCGGGGCGGGCTGGGGACTGAGGTGCAAACACCTGTTGCATGGTGTTCATTAACTGCAGATGGGCGGGACTCCTAGCAGCCAGACCAACCTGTTAGATGATGTGGCTACTGCCCCTCCCCCGTGCCACAGTGATTTACCCAGCCGGTAGGGGTTGGAGATCTGCCTTGCTGAATGGGCTGGCTGATCACTGGCCCCCTACCAAGAGGGTCTGACTAGGGAGGGAGCTGGTTAGGTGGGTCAGGGTGGGCAATGCCAAGAAAGCAAATTTACAAAGAAAGGGGAAGAGGGGAGAGGGAGCAAGCTGGCTTCAGACCTCTGCATACCTGAAGCCTGACGTATCTGGGCTCACATACTTCTGGAAAAGATGAGGCAAGCACGACTCTGAGCTCCGAGGGTAGGACAACTGTTCTGGGCACGGTGCCAGGCTGGCATCGGAAAACAACACCTTTATTTTTGTTTTCCAGCTGCCAGAGTGTCGTTCTCCCCTGTCTTTCTCGCCTTTGCTCCCTTATTGAAAACCTGATTCTTTCAAGGGCTGCAGGAAACACATGATCAAGGTCAAGAGACCTTGGCTTTGGAAACTCGACATCTGGCTTCCAGACTCTCCTGACCTGGCCAGGGGACTAGACTTCTACTTGCATCTGTAAAGTGGGTTGAAAGTTCCAGTCATGAGCACCAAGTAGAAGACCTGATTCATGTAGATGGCCTGGGTGGGGTGGTGCGGTGTCAGATGGTCCTGAGTGGATGCAGCTCTGCCTCCAGAGCCTCGAAAACCTTTCCTGCCTTCGCCCTCATCATCCTTCCCATCCCTCTGTGCTGGCTCCTCATGCTCCTTCAACCTCCTTCACAGGAAATGTGCTGCAGAGACAGAAGGCAGCGCGAGGTACGCTGAACACTGAGCATTCAAGGTCTGCAGAGGCTCCCAGCCAGGAACTTCCATAGACCCTGCTCCTCCTTGTCCAGGGCTGCCAGCCTCTTCCTTCCTTCCCGACTTGATACCCCCAGTAGTCATGCTGTGTGTCTGTGACCTGGCACCCTCCTCTCCCACTTAGACAAAGAGAAGTGTGTTTGGGAGAAACTGAGAGTCAGAGATGGAAGGAAGCTCAGCCCCTATGGGGGCCTGAGGGAGACAGAAATCTTGACTGGAACATGCTTGCTGAGCCACATCACCTACTCTGGGCCCCTGCCTCTGGTCCAAACCTTTTTCCTACATGGGCTCTTTTGGCACAATTGGACATAGGACTCTGCATTGAGGCCATGGGTTCATCCTGCTCCAGGACCCCAGGATCTGCTGTGGGTGTTGAGGCCTTCTGGATGACAGGGTCACCAAGATGGTGCCTGCCCCATTTCTGCCATGTGCTGTGCTCCCTCACTCAGTAGACACTGGCATGGCCATTCCAACCTCCCACCATCTTCCCCTGGTATCTAAATGGCATGTGGTCAGACATAGTGCCATGCCCTCCCCCACCCTGGGTCAGGAGATGGCATCTGGACTTGGTATGGCCTGAATGTACCCTCAGTCCTCTCCAAAGCCTCTATTTGAGGGAGATGCAGAATTCATCACCCTTGGTACGGAGGGTGGGGTGACATTCCTGGTCTCAGGGAACTGGCTGTCTATGGTGGTTTTGGATGCCACAGGAAGGGCACGGGATAGAGAAGAATACTGGCTTTGTCTCTTCACCATGAGTCCTCAGTCAGGGCAGTCCTCTCCTAATGTCCATATCTTTCTGATCTCCACAGAGATAAACCTCTGAGCCCAGACAGGTCATAGTTAATTGCCGAGTCCCCAGCTAGCATTGAGGGTCTTGTTTCTGGGGCTTTCCTTGGGGTGTTCCTGATTCCCTAGAAGAATGGAGGGCAGGGGGGCTACCTCCTCCCAGCCTTTAGTTTCCCTTGGGTACAGTTGGTAGACGTGTCTTTGACTGTTCCAGCTGTGACTGCCAAACAGGAATAGCAGCAAGGAAGCCCCAAACAAACAAAACTCTGCAGCCCTTCCTTGCCCTGCCTCCCTTTCCCTCCCCTGAGTAGGTCCCTCCCGTGACCCCTGCCCTCCCTTAGCTCCACCTGCCCCAATCCTTGGAGGGCCACCCCTGAGCCCATCTGATCAGACTGTCTCCGACCAGAGACCCTTCCTCCCAACCAGGGAGGGCTTCCACTCTCCCTGAGCTCTGATGGGATACTCTCCAGGCTTTGTGAGAGGTGAGGGATCCAGGCAATCAGTGCCCATCAAAGCAGAAAGTCTGTGGAAGTGAGAATGGACAGTGGGGAGTTTCTCTGGAGACTGCCCAGGTCCCTTCCGAATGTGAGCCTGGACAACCGCAGATGGAAGGGGCATGTGGGCATTTTGTTCACTTCTGGGACTTTGGAGACCTGTCCTGGTTGGCTCTTCCACAGTCCAGGTACAAGAATTCCCTAGGTATACCCCTCATATCCCTGGTTCCTGTAACTGGTGATGGGTGGTGCAATTCACACTGGTGACACAGAGAGGGCAGAGAAGATGAGGGCCAGAGGTGAAGGTGGGAGGAGGCTTGGCCCTCATACAAGGGGCTTTCTCGTTTTCGTTCCTCTGTCCTGTGTCTCCCTCCACAGTGCTCCCACATGACCTCTGACTTGGCCTCTTCACTCCTGTCTGCTTCTCTTCCCTGCCTTTCTCTGGGCTCCTGTCCTTCGGAATGAGGGAGGAGAGGTGTCTGGCAGGATGGCCTTATGGGAATGGCATCCATCTCTGTGTCATAGTTTCAGTGCCTCTTCTCTGCCCTGCTCTCTCTGGGGTGGCCTGAGGCTGGTCCATGGAGCGGTGGCAGCCTCCCACTACAGGACAGCCACACATGTTTGCTAGGTGAATATTCCTAGGAGCACACACCAGCCTGGGAGTCAGGGCCTAGAAGCCAGGGGGAGATCAGGAGTCTTCAGGGGAGTGTCATAGCCCTGCCTCAGGGCAGGAGGGGAGGCCTCCAAAGACCTGCTCAGGTGCTGTCTCTTTTTTAGTTCTTCTCTTAAGTGTCTTCCTATACTGTTCATGACAGACCATTGCCTACTCAGTGCCTAGCCTCTTTCTCTGGGTCTTCTCTGGGAGCAGGGCTATGTCGAGGCCACAGAAGAGGCCGGAGAAGGTGGAAATGTGGCTTTTCAGCCTTTGAGCACCTGAATTTCTGTGGATTCCAGAGCTGGGGACCAGGGAAGCTGAATGTGGCTTTAGGAATGGTGTGGGGCCCAGAAAGGGCAGAGAGATGAAGCCCCTTAAGGCCTCCTCTGCGTGCCAGGGAATCTTAGGACACTCTTGACAGAGGCATCAGCTTAGACAGGGAATTCTGGGACACCTTCCCAGAGGGGAGAGTGGGCTGAGGCCTGAGGGAAGAGGAAGAAGTATAGGGACAAAGGAAGGGAAAGGCGCTTCAGGTGCGGGCTGGAGGTAAGAGGCTATGTGGGATGGTGACCATGACAGGAGCCAAGATTACTGGCGTTTCATGGGTGCTATGGAGCTCAGAGGAGCCATGGCTTCCTGAGAGACCCACAGAAGCCACAGAAGCTGCTGGGCACAGAGCAGCTCCCTGTGACTTTTGGGGCTGAATGTCTGTGGAGATGCTTTGTGCTTGCTGTGCCTCTTCCTCCATTTCTCGGGTCTTCCTTGCTTCCTTCCCTAACTGCTGTACCCTCCATGGTCACATCTGGACAGTGGAGAGGGGCCACATCCTATGTGGGACATCTCAGATGTGAAACATGGACATCATACATGGTTTGACTGGACAGAGCTCATCTTCAAAGAGGACTGCTGAGATGGGTCAGGATGCTGGGGACCATGGAGGCTCTATCCTGGTTCAAGATTGGCTGTGGAGGCAGCAAGATAGGCTAGTGCAGGGGGTGGGGGTGATGGTGAGGCACTTTGGAGACCAGAGCTGGGACATCTGGCTTCTTGTCTGGGGCTCTACCACTTAGCAGCTGTGCAGTTTGAATTGGTCTCTTTAGGTTCCTAAAATCAGGCTACACTGGATGATCATTGTTTTTGTTTATTTATTTTTTTCCAGTTCGGGTCAATAAGTGCTCCTTAACCTGTTGTCAATCCCCCTGCTCTGCTAGGCTCTCATTTTGCAGTATGAACCAGGCCCTCAGCCAGGCAGCTCTGGGGAGGGCGGGTATGCCCTGCTATATAATGAGGGCAGGCCTTGAGGGCTGGAGGAGGCCACAAGGCTAATTAGGCTTTCCCTGTCCTCGGCCCACTTAGCCCAATTTGTAGTTATTTATCCTTGGCTGTTGATGTGTTTGTGTCTGCCTTTCAGCTGAACCGAATTCATTAACACATGGATGGGTGGGGGTTCAGTTCCCTTGACACCCTACTTCTTTACATAGTGCCTGACATGCAGTAAATAGGTCCTGGTGCTAGCTCTTTGTTGAATGAGTAAAAGGTTACCTTGCACATAGGTCATTTTTTCTATGTATCAGGACAGAGGATTTATCACTAAGAGTCTTGGGATACCAGGACCTGGGGTATGCTGTGGAGGGGGTCAGAGGATGAACATTCACTGGGGTGGGGGCTGCTGGTCGTGCGCCCTGCCTTGTAGGACTTGGCTGTCTGTTTGCCGGGCTGACTTGGCTAAACCCCAGGTTAACATAGGGGCCCTTGTCCTAGGGTCTCATGCGGGCCACCCCAGTTAATTCCCAGAGGCCTGCATTGTACTGAGTCCTAATTAGGAATATTCCTCCATGTATTTTCCATTCAGTGTTGGGGTAGGGGCTGATTAGCCAAATGCTTAATGGATTAGAAGGGAGAGTCCCCTTGCAAGCTTCTCCAGGTGGGTGGAGGCCCTACTGGGTCTAGTATATAAGGAACATGTGCTCAGGGCAGGGCAGGACAAGTCAGAGCCCCCAGACTCCTTTTTGCAGACAGGACTCCAGTATGGGACATTTAGTTTCCTCTCTGGTCCAGGCTTTGGTTTCCCCTTGGAAAATCAGCCTATGACCAGCTGTATGGGTGCTGGGCTCATACCAGTGGCCTGTTGGCATGGTTGTCAGGCCT